TAACTGTCCTCCCACCTGCAACCCTCCCCTTTCCAGCTCTTTCTCCCATTCCTTTCACATCAAGATTAATTTTAATTATCTTTATATATACAGAAGATCAATTTAGTATATTTTAAGTAAAGATTTCAACAGTTTGCACCCACACAGAAACACAAAATGTAACGTACTGTTTGAGTTCTTGTTATAGCATTAATTTACGTTGTACAACACGTTAAGGACAGAGATCCTACATGGGGAGTAAGTGCACAGTGACTCCTGTTGTTGACGTAACAATTTGACACTCTTTTTTATGGCGTCAGTAATCACCCTAAGCTCTTGTCATGGCTTGCCAAGGCTATGGAAGCCTTTTATGTTTGCCAACACTGATCTTTAGACAAGTTCATAGTCAAAGTGGAAGTTCTCTCCTTCCATCAGAGAAAGGTACCTCCTTCTTTGATGGCCCGTTCCTTTCACTGGGATCTCAAAAACAGAGATCTTTCATTTAGTTTGTTCTTTTTTGTGCCAGAGTGTCTTGGCTTTCCATGTCTAAAATACTCTCATGGGATTTTTAGCTGGATCCGAATGCCTTAAGTGCTGATTCTGAGGCCAGAGTGCTGTTTAGCACATCCGCCATTCTATGAATCTGCTGTGTATCCCGATTCCCATTTTGGATCATTCTCTCCTTTTTTATTCATTCAGTTAGTATTAGCAGACATTAGTTTTGATTATATGATCCCTTAGTCTCTTAGTCCTATCATTATGATCAATTGTGAACTGAAATTGATCACTTGGACTAGTGAGATGGCATTGGTACATGCCACCTTGATGGGATTGAATTGGAATCCCCTGGCATGTTTCTAACTCCACCATTTGGGGCAAGTCCGATTGAGCATGTCCCAAACTGTACATCTTCTCCCTCTCTTATTCCCACTCTTATATTAAACAGAGATCACTTTTCAGTTAAATTTAAACACCTAAGAATAATTGTGTGTTAATTACAGAGTTCAACCAATAGTATTAAGTAGAACAAAAAAATACTAAAAAGGATAAAGTATTAAGTTGTTCATCGATAGTCAGGACAAAGGCTGATGAAGTCACTGTTTCTCATAGTGTTCATTTCACTTCAACAGGTTTCCTTCTTGGTGCTTACTTAGTTGTCACTGATCAGGGAGAACGTATGATATTTGTCCCTTTGGGACTGGCTTATTTCACTCAGCATGATGTTTTCCAGATTCCTCCATTTTGTTGCAAATGACCGGATTTCATTGTTTTTTTGCTGCTGTATGGTACTCTATAGAGTACATGTCCCATAATTTCTTTATCCAGTCTACTGTTGATGGGCATTCAGGTTGATTCCAGGTCTTAGCTATTGTGAATTGAGCTGCAATAAACATTAAGTACAGACCACTTTTTTGTTTGCCAATTTAATTTCCTTTGGGTAAATTCCAAGGCTATCCAAGGGATAGCTGAGTTGTATGGTAGGGTTATATTCAGGTTTCTGAGGAATCTCCAGACTAACTTGCATAGTGGCTTTACCAGTTTGCATTCCTAGCATCGGTGGGTTAGTGTCCCTTTTTCCCTAAATCCACGCCAGCATCTATTATTGGTAGATTTCTGAATGTGAGCCATTCTCACTGGGGTGAGGTGAAACCTCATTGTGGTTTTGATTTGCATTTCCCTGATTGCTATGATCTTGAACATTTTTTCATGTGCCTGTTGGCCATTTGGATTTCCTCTTTTGAAAAACATCTGTTTAAGTCCTTTGCCCATCTCTTAAGTGGGTTGTTGGTTTTGTTTTTGTGGAGTTTCTTGATATCTTTGTAGATTCTAGTTATTAATCCTTTATCTGTTGCATAGTTTGCAAATATTTTTTCCCACTCTGTTGGTTGCCTCTTCACTTCCCTGACTGTTTCTTTTGCAGTACAGCAACTTCTCAATTTGATGCAATCCCAATAGTTAATTGTGGCTTTGACTGCCGGTGCCTCTGGGGTCTTTTCCAAGAAGTCTTTGCCTGTGCCTATATCTTGCAGGGTTTCTCCAATGTTGTCTAATAATTTGATAGTGTCGGCTCGTATACTTAGATCCTTAATCTATGTTGACTGGATTTTTGTGTAAGTTGTAAGGTAGGGGCCTTGCTTCATCCTTCTGCACGTGAAAATCCAGTTTTCCTAGCACCATTTATTGAATAGACTTTCCTTACTCCAGGGACTGGTTTTGGATCCTTGATCAAATATAAGTTGGCTGTAGATGTTTGGATTGATTTCTGGTGGTTTATTTTGGTTCCATTAGTCCATCCATCTGTTTCTGAACCAGTACCACGCTGTTTTGATTACAACTGCCCTGTAGTATGTCTTGAAATCTAGTATTGTGATGCCTCTGGCTTTGTTTTTGTTGTACAAGATTGCTTTAGCTATTCGAGGTTTCCTGTGTCTCCATATAAATTTCAGCTTCATTTTTCAAGGTCTGAGAAGAATGTCTTTGGTATTTTGATTGGTATCGCATTGATGATATTGATTCTCCCAATCCGTGAGTATGGAAGATTTTTTTCCATTTTTTGGTATCCTCTTCTATTTCTTTCTTTAAGATTTTGTAATTCTCATTGTAGAGATCTTTAACATCCTTGGTTAAGTTTGTTCCAAGTTATTTGATAGTTGCTGTGGCTATTGTGAATGAGATTGATCTTAGAAGTTCTTTCTCAGCCATGGCATTGCTTGTGTATACAAAGGCTGTTGATCTTTGTCTATTGATTTTATATCCTGCTACTTTTCCAAACTCTTCTATGAGTTCCAATAGTCTCTTTCTAAAAAAATTATTTATTTATTTATTTATTTATTTTATTTTTTTGACAGGCAGAGTTAGAGAGAGAGAGAGACAGAGACAGAGACAGAGAGAAAGATCTGCCTTCCGATGGTTCACAACCAAAATGGCCGCTACGGCTGGCACTGTGCGAATCCGGAGCCAGGAGCCAGTTGCTTCCTCCTGGTCTCCCATGTGGGTGCAGGGCCCAAGCACTTGCATCATCCTCCACTGCCTTCCCAGGCCACAGCAGAGAGTCGGACTGGAAGAGGAGCAACTGGGACAGAATCTGGTGCCCCAACTGGGACTAGAACCCGGGTGCCAGTGCCTCATGTGGAGGATTAGGCTAGTGAGCCAAGGCACTGGCAAGTTTCAATAGTCTCTTCGTAGAGTTCTTTGGATCCCCTAAATGAAGAATCACATCATCTGCAAAGAGGGATAGTTTGACTTCTTCCTTCCCAATTTGTATCCCTTTCTTTCTTTCTTTCTTTCTTTCTTTCTTTCTTTCTTTCTTTCTTTCTTTCTTTCTTTCTTTCTTTCTTCCCTTCTTCCCTTCTTCCCTTCTTCCCTTCTTCCCTTCCTTCTTTCCTTCTTTCCTTCTTTCCTTCTTTCCTTCTTTCCTTCTTTCCTTCTTTCCTTCTTTCCTTCTTTCCTTCTTTCCTTCTTTCCTTCTTTCTTTCTTTCTTTCTTTCTTTCTTTCTTTCTTTCTTTCTTTCTTTCTTTTGCCTAATAGCTCTGGCTAAAACTTCCAGAACTATATTGAATAGCAGTGGTGAGAGTGGGCAGCCCTGTCTGGTACCAGATCTCAGTGGAAATGCTTCCAACATTTCCCCATTCAATAGGATGCTGGCCGTAGGTTTTTCATAAATTGCTTTGATTGTATTGAGGAATGTTCCTTCTATACCAAATTTGCATAGAGTTTTCATCATGAAAGGGTGTTGAATTTTATTGAATGCTTTCTCTGCATCTATTGAGATAATCATATGGTTTTTCTTCTGCAGTCTGTTAATGTGGTGTATCACAATGATTGATTTCTGAAAGTTGAACCATCCCTGCATACCAGGGATAAATCCCAGTTGGTCTGGGTGGGTGATCTTTCTGATGTGTTGTTGCATTCTATTGGCCAGAATTTTATTGAGGATTTTTGCGTCTATGCTCATCAGGGATATTGGTCTGTAATTTTCTTTCAATGCTGCATCTTTTTCCGGCTTAGGGATTAAGGTGATGCTGGCTTCATAGAAAGAATTTGGGAGGATTCCCTCTTCTTCGATTGTTCTGAATAGTTTGAGAAGAATTGGAGTTAGTTCTTCTTTAAATGTCTGGTAGAATTCAGCAGTGAATCCATCTTGTCCTGGGCTTTTCTTTGTTGGGAGGACCTTTATTACTGTTTCAATTTCTGTCTCAGTTATGGGTCTGTTTAGGTTTTCTATGTCTTCCTGGTTCAATTTAGGTAGGTTGCATGTGTCTAAGAATCTATCCATTTCTGATAGATTTCCCTTTTTGCTGGCATACAACTCTGTGTAGTAATTTCTGATGATTCTTTTTATTTCTGTGGTGTCTGTTGTTACATTTCCTTTTTTGTCTCTGATTTTATTGATTTGGGTCTTTTCTTTTTTAGTTAGTTGGGCCAATGGTGTGCCACTTTTGTTTATTTTTTGAAAAAAAAAAAACAGTTCTTCGTTTGGCTGATCTTTTGTAATATTTTTTTTTTTTTTTGGATTCAATCCTGTTGATTTCTTCTCTTATTTTAATTATTTCTCTTCTCCTACTAGTTTTGGGTCTGGTTTGCTGCGGTTTTTCTAGATCCTTGAGATGCATTGAAAGCTCATTTATTTGGTGCCTTTTCAGTTTCTTGATGTAGGCACCTATTGGTATAAACTTTCCACTTCATGCTGCTTTTGCTGGTATCCTATAAGTTTTGATATGTTGTGTTGTTATCCTCATTTACTTCCAGAAAGTTTTTGATTTTTCTTTTGATTTCTTCTATGACCCATTGTTCATTCAGGAGCATGTTGTTCCATCTCCATGTGTTTGCATATGCTCTAGGGATTCCTGAGTTGCTAATTTCCAGATTCATTCCACTGTGGTGTGAGAAGCTGCATCGTATAATTCTAATTCTTTTGAATTTGCTGAGACTTGCTTTATGGCCTAGTATGTGGTCAATCGTAGAGTAGGTTCCATCTCCACACTATCTTACAATGTCTATACTAGTTTACATTCCCATCAATAGTGGATTATGATACCTTTTTCCCCACATCCTCAGATTCCTTTACTGGAAAACCAATCACCCACTCTAGCTCACTGAGACTAGGTTAGCACTGAAATTAGAACACCTTACCTAGTCCTCTTGCTTGTCAAAAGCAAGTTTGCATTCTCTCCTGTCATCATCAACCTCAGGAGTTGGAAAGGTGCTGTTGGGTCAGATCACCGAGTCAGCAGAGTTGCTTCTCAATGGTACACTCCCCCACTTCTGGGCCTCAAAATGGACCAGACTGTGCTTCATGCTCAAACCTTCTCCAAAAGAGACTACGTCTTCAAAATAAACACAGAAACTGCTTCATGTGCCTTCTTCTAGATATTTACAGTTTTAGTAATGAGAGTTAGCAAAAGGTAAGGGAGGGAAAGCATAGAAATATATAGAAGATAACCTCACAGAGACTAAAACTGTAAGTCCTGCTCTGATTTCCAATAGAACAGAGCCTTTATTTAGAGAGCTAATAAAAGAGGAGTGGAAAAGACTCTGATCCCGAATCTCTACCACCAGGCTGAAAGAGGGGCTCATCTTCACTTGTGGCAAAGCTTTGTGGTTTTCTCTTCAAGAGTGTTAATGGGAGAATTGAGGATTCCAGAATGATTTAGCCTAAGCATGCAGCACCTAGATCCTGAGCCTGCTTAATGACAATATGAACAGAAACCAAAGATACTGGACAAACTTTACGAAAAATGGGTATTCCAAGAGGAGGGAGGAGAAAAACAATCATGATTCTCAGCCTATAATGTCCTCTATTCTTCTGAGAAATCAATAGGAATGATAAAGTGCAATAATTCTATTCTGATATCATAAGGTGCCAATCTCAGAGCAAACTTTGGCCTGTGTTAATTCTGTCCATCTTCACATGAAACCCCTTGGAGGTTTAGAGTATGTTCCCTATACAAATGGGAAATGGAAACTTGAATATTTTCTCAAAGAGTAAACACTAAGGAGGCAAAGTTCAGTTTCCTCCAGAGAGAGACAGCTGCTACTGTAATATTCCACATTCTGATCAAAATAAAGGATTTATGCCCATTAGGGAAGTCTAGGCCAGCAATAAACAACTGGGATCAATTATAGCTGTTAGAAATGCAGGACAAGTGCAAATGCACTCTCTGATATGCAGCAGGGAGGTCCATGGAGAAGAAGGCATAGCCAGTGGAGGACAGAGCAATGGAGAAGATTTGGGTTGGTGAATATGAAGCATCCATGGAAGGGAATATAATTCTAGAGCTTGAAAAATGAATGGAGAGGTTACTATATATTACATGAGAATTTCTATAGGCACTACTGGGCAAGCCACTACGGAAAAGACGTGAACTCTTGTTTTATTCACTTTTTGATGTGTTGACCATCCTTAGTCTTTGCTTTCCTTGCAGAACCTGGAAGACCATGGCAACCACTCCTGCTGCTGCCTTTCAGGTCCTTGTGAATGGAGTGAGAAGCTGGAATATCCCCCCAGAGCCCCTCCCTTCTGAACTCCTTCTCATTGGAGAAGCCACCTTCCCAGTGATGGTGAATGAGGAGGGCCGTGTGGTCATTGCTGCCTCCTCCTTTGGCCAAGGCCGCCTCGTGGTGGTGGCCCATGAGGAGTACCTGATTCATGCTCCCTTGGCTCCATTTCTTGTCAATGTTGTGTCCTGGCTCTGTCCCTCCCCTGAAGCCTCCATTGGAGTGAACCCCTCCCTGGAATCACTAGTAAAACTCTTGCAGGATGCTGGGGTTAAGGCACGGGTTCAGTTGGAACCAGGCGAGTCCATGGGGGTTTACTGCACCAATGCCTATGATGACAGCATGACTGAGAAGCTGATCCAGTTTGTAAAACGAGGAGGGGGCCTGCTCATCGGGGGTCATGCCCAGAGTTGGGTTGAGAAGCATGGCAGTGATAAGGTGCTCTCTGAGTTCCCTGGAAACCGGGTGACAAGCGTGGCTGGCGTGTACTTCACAGACTCCAGTGTGGACAGAAGGCAGTGGGTTGTCTCTGAGACGGTGCCCACCATCTCATTCCATGTCACGTGAGTGATGATTCTTATAAGGGAAGTATGATCCAAGTTAAAAAGCAGGCTTGTCCCCCATTTTTAAGAGCTTTCAGTCTTGCAGAGGAGAAAATGGCCACTATGAAACAGGATCGCTACAAACTACAAACACAAGCATAAAAATGACCTGTGTTTGTCAAGGATCAGTATGCTTGCTCACTCTCTATTATGGCTTGAGTATTAAGTACTTAGAATGTAGGGTATACTTTTTGGTTCACATCCTGTTATTCCCCTAGATTCAGTCTCAGAAAGACACTGGTAGAAAGGGAACAAGTCTACAATGTTCATGGAAGAAAAGAAATTTCTGTTTTGCTTGATATTATATCACTATCACACAGTGCAATACCTGACGTGGTAGGTGCTGAATAAACACTCAATTAATGAGTGAATGAAATTGAGGGTGTGTGTTCTGGCAACATCAGGAAAAATGCAACACTTCATAGTACACAGGTGCACATCAGGACCTTCTCTCCCCAGTAACTATTGGGAGGAGAGTTTTCTTTAAATTGAAATGGAGAAGATTTATTGTAAAAAGGCCAAGGGAAGGTTCATAGATTACTTTTGTCTGTAAAGATTAGAGAAAAATTAGACAAAAAAATTGGCTTAAATGAACTGCACCATCTCAGATTTGAATCACAAGCTAGCACATGAAAGTTCTTGGTATTTCCCTAAGTCTCCTCTACACAGCAATTCGTCTTATCTTTGGCACACATAGTCATTTGTTGGTATTGAAAGTTCCAAAATTAACATAGTTACATGTTATTCCATACAAGTTCTAGAGTGTTTTGACATACAGTTCCAAAAAGATGTGTAGCTAGTTCAAAAAATTTGCTCCTGAAGTGAATGATAATGACAAATTGTTAGTTAGAAGGTTGTACAAAATGACACTCTTACCAAAACAATACCCCAGGGCACAGCTAATACTCAACATTATGAATTTATGTTTAATACTTTTTCAATATGGAATGTGAAAATATTATTTGATTTCTATTTCTCTGATTTAAAGGCACAGGGCATTTTTACATATTTTTGGTCATTTATGTTTCATCTTAAAATGTTTGTGTCCTTTATCTTTTTTTCTATTTATTTTTTTTCTTTTTCTTATGGATTAATTAGTTCTATTTCTATCTTACATAAAGATAGTTCGAAACGTTTGTGGAAAATAGAATTAAGATATGACTTTATGTTGGTACGAAATTTTTTGTACTCATGCATAGTTTTTTTAATTTAATTTAATTTTTTTTTAAGAGGCCGAGTGTACAGTGAGAGAGACAGAGAGAAACGTCTTCCTTTACTGTTGGCCCACCTTCCAATGGCTGCTGTGGCCTGCACTCTGTGCTGATCCGAAGCCAGGAGCCAGGTGCTTTTCCTGGTCTCCCATGTGGGTGCAGGGCCAAAGGACTTGGGCCATCCTCCTCTGCACTCCCGGGCCATAGCAGAGAGCTGGACTGGAAGAGGGGAAACTGGGATAGAAAATGGCACCCCGACAGGGACTAGAACCCAGTGTGCCAGTACCGCAAGGCGAATTTTAGCCTATTGAGCCGCAGGGCTGGCCTCATGCATAGTTTTTTAAAACTACAGATTTTACATGAACAATTTTGAAGAACCTCTGTAAGTTACTCTTCTTTTCCTGTTTCACATGTTGCAAATGTGTCTCCTTCCATCACTTGTTAACTTTGTTTTTGGTTTTGCATATGTTTTATATCTGTTTTGATTCAACTTGTCCATCTTTTTCCTTCATAACATTTGTTCAAAGATTCATCTATCCATTTGAAAGGCAGAGCTACAGTGAGGCAGAAGTAGAGAGAGGGAAGTCTTCAATCCAATGGTTCACTCCCCAAGATGGCCACAATGGTGGAGCTGTGCGAATCCAAAGCCACGAGATAGGAGCTTCCTCCAGGTCTCCCACATGGGTGCGGGGGCCCAAGGACTGGAGCCATCTACCACTGCTTCCCCAGGCCATAGCAGAGAGCTGGATCGGAAGTGGAGCAGCCAGGACTGAAACCAGTGCCCATATGGGATGCCGGCACTGCAGGCGGCGGCTGTACCTGGCATGCCACGGTGCCTGCCCCATATTTTTTATTGTTTAGAAAATCTTTTCTCATTACAAATTTCTTACAGAATTTTCCTAAGTTTCTTCTAGTACTTTAATTGTTGGATGACATATTTACATATTTAATGCAATAGCTATTTTCCATAAATCACATAGATTTTAACAAATGTATGGTCAATTATTACAGCACAAGTTATTGAAAAATCAATATTTTTCCTCACTAATTTTAAAGCGTATTTTTCCACATAAGTTTCCTTATGTGTATGCAATTGTTTTACAACTCTCTCCACTGAAGTACTGGTCTATTTGTGTAATTCTCCATCAACCCAGCTGCTCTTGTTACTGCAGCTTTGGAATGAGTTTTGATAACTGAGAAAACAAACTCATCTCCACATTGACATGTTAAATCACTTAACATTTTCAAAACATTCTTGTGTATTTTGGGCCACCAATATCTAAAGATTAAACTATTGAGTCTATTTATCTAGATTGTTTTAAACATATTGAGATCTGGGACAGAGTTATGTGTAAAATGGAAATTATTGGAGAATAAGCAACAACTAGTAAAATTTAAATATCAATCTCCTGAGCTTCTTCTTTGGTGTTTTCTACTATATGAGCTCAGGTTTTCGGTGCTCTCTTCTGCACTTTTCTACACTCACCTCTCCAAAGGCCACTAACACGGGAAATGTCTCTTTTGCAGGTGCGGGGAGAACTTCAGGCAGGATCAGAAGCAGCTCCTGGAAGGCATCACGGAACTGGACCTCGACAGAGGGGGAATCCCCTCATACCTGCTGGTGCACGGGCCCCTGGCCTTTCCCCTGGGGCTGGACAGCTCTCTAAACTGCTTTCTAGCAGCTGCCCGCTATGGCCATGGTCGTGTGGTGCTGTGTGGCCATGAGAGCATGGTATTTGAAAGCAGCATGGAAAAGTTTTTGATCAACGCTGTACGCTGGCTGAAAGGGCAGCAGAAGGGGAAGGTTGGGGTGAGTCCACAAGTGAAAGCTTTGGGCAACTTGTTAACAAAACACGAGGTGGCGTGGACCAGCACCACCCTTCCAACCCGCGACTTGAGCGTCTACTGTTGTGCCTCACTCCACAACATGAATGTCAGGAAAGTGGAGGACTTTGTTGCAGAAGGTGGAGGGATACTGATAGGCAGCCGGGCCTGGTACTGGAGTTATGATAACCCAGATTCCAACTATATGACTGAGTATCCAAGTAACGGGTTCCTTAAACGTGTTGGTCTTGGCATTTTAATTGAGTCAGGCAATAAAGGCTGCTTCCCAGTCCCTAAGCCAGAGATGTTGAATTACCACATCCGAAAAGTTCTACCCCAATTTGAATCCATGCTGTTCAACAAGGGAAAGGTGTTAGAGAAGACCTGGCTGGAGAAGCTAAAAAAAGATATCTCCAATATGTTTCAAATTCCACACAATGGGATTCCCATCTATGAGTCCATGCACCAAATCATCCTGAAAATGATCAAACAAAAGGGCTTGCCCACTGTGGATAAAGGAAACCCCATCAGCAGGGCCAGCCATCAGGATGGGGCCGAGAACTCTTCAAATCTGGAAAAACAATAGAAGTTCTGGAAAAAAATAGAAGTTCTTCTTACAGAATTCTAATATGCAAGGGCTCATCAACCTGCTCCACTGGGGCTGGCTTTGGTTTTATCCCCTGGGAAGGAGGCAGTAGACATTTGATGTGGTGGTCGAGAATCTGAATCCTCAGAATAAGTTCATGAATACTCCCTGAGGTGAAACATTTTTATTAAGATTTATTTATTTTTTAAAGGGAGGGAGAGAGAGGGAGAGAGAGAGAGAGAGAGAGAGAGAGAGAGAGAGAGAGAGAGAGAATTTTTCTATTCTGCTTCTCTTCCCAAATTCCCACAGCAGCCAGTGTGAGACCAGACCAAGCCTGGAGCCAGAAATACCATTCAGATCTGCAGTGGAGGTTGTTGGATCAAGTACGTGAGTCAAAATCTACTTCTTCCCAGAATGTGCAACAGCAGAAAGTTGCACTCTGATATGGGATACTGGTACCCCAGGAAACTGCTTACCCTGTTCACCACCATTTCTTCTCTCCTCAACTGTCTCTATATGGGAATTTCACTCAAATTCTTTGTATTCTAAATCTCTGCGTCGAGAGCTCATTTTTAATTTCAATTCCATTTTTTAATCTTTCTCATATTTTTAACTATCCTGTTCTGCTGACTCATGGTGGGCCCAATCTGGAGGGTGGTGGAGGATTCGGGGAGCTCCAGGGAGTCAAGATGTTGCAAGACTGTGTGTCTCCCAGCAGCTCACCCCGAATTTCTGCTCCTGCATGTAGATGTGTTTTCAGAGAGGTCCACATATTCCACTCCACAGGATGTTCTTTAATTCTCTTCTCATTCAGGAAGGCTCAGAGCAGGGTGGGCCCCTGCCCTGGGCATCCCCTGCACTGCCTCATGCATCAGACCAACCAGAGGCTGCTTGTGGTCTCTGAGGTCTGTGAGGAGAACTGCCAGCCATGCCACTGCTGGTTGTGGCCCAGCTGGTGGATGGTTCCCTACAGACTTCTGCTTCTCATTCCTGACTCATTAATGAGCTCCTGCACTGACTCCAGGTGGCAGATGATAGGGTATCCTGAGTGCATCCAGCCTAGAGGGCCAGAAAGAAGACACAGGACATGAAAAGTGGGTTCCACCCCAATGCCCTCCATCTGTCACTATTGTAGAACTTTTCCTCTCCATCTTGGATGTCCCCAGTAATTGCAGCATGTCCACACTGATTGGAAAATAGTCTGCTTCCTCGACTTGGGCAGAGCCTGAACAGTACTCACCCCTTCCCAGCCTTCTGCTTTGAGTGACACCCTGCTCCTCAGCCTGGCCCTGAGCATGTGAGTGCACTTCCCCTCTCATCCTTGCTGCAGCTCAGTGCTTCATTTTGCTGTCATCCTCCTCTTATGCATGCAGGTCTGTGACATGATGTCCTGTGCCTGGACTAAGATCCTGGTGGCTAGGGCTGTGTCATTTTTATTCCTCCCAGTTAAACCACAGCTATGCAGATTTACCTCTACTATGGAGATGCATGTCTTTTTTAAAAGATAATTTGAACTCTGACTCTTGTTTGAATAAATTGATTTATGTGGTATACTCTCCTAGAAAGATCCTTCATTGCAATATAGGAACTCCTAGCAGCAATATGCCTGAGATTATCTATTATGCTATGAAATCCCTCCTAGTGAATATAAACAGTTTTCATGTGTAAACATCTTTCATGTTTTCATGGTCCATGTCTAATATGTCTTTCCCCCTTACTCTACTAATAAAATTATTTTTCACATAACTTGCACATTTAAAGAAGGTAAAATTATACATAAAAGATGTACACCGACTGAAGCACCCACCAGCTGAGATCTGCATGTTGCTGGAAACCCCCTTGGATCTGTGGAAAGGGAAAGCCTTGGTGGCCAGGCTGGCTACAGCTTGCATCATCTCAACCCAGAGATCTAGCAGAGGCTCGGGGTCTTCCTGGTCTTGGAGCTCTGAAGTTGGTACAAGAAGGATGATGTTGTCTGTGACCAACTCTCCCCAGGAGACAGGTTCCACTGGACAGCACCTCCACTCCTTGGCTGTCTTAGCTGGTGATAAGTACCATGGAACCTGCCACCCACTTCACCAACTTCTCTTGGATTGAAAAAATACAACCTGGACTCCAGAAGGAGAACACTGAAACAATGAACTGCTATCACAGGGGAATCCACCACTGAATAAAGGACAGGCTTGCAGCCCTTCTCCCTGTTCTGCCCTGAAGTCTCCATGGTCAGGCGTGTTGCTTATCTCCTCTGACAGCTCGCTCTTCCTCTCATAACTGATCCTTATCCTTCTCTGCCTTAGCAACCAGCCCAGAGTCACGACGGCATCCACAGGTCCCTCTCTTATCTCAAATCTCAGCCCTCTCACTGGGTTTGTAGTATGGGGCAGGCATAGCCCTTGTGATGGTCACAGACATGGGGCTGAGTCAGCTGCCCTTGGGCACATTGACACAGAGGAGGTTACCACAGGGACAGCAGACTAACTGCTTGGTTCTGTCCATGCATCATTGGTGAGAATACCATCAGGGCTTATGACAGCTTGTTGTCTTGGTCAGGTTATTATTATGGCAGCCAGGAGCTTCTTCTGGGTCTTCTCACATGGGTGCAGGGGCGCTAGGACTTGGGACATCTTTTACTGCTTTTCCAGACCATAGAAGAGAGCTGAATCGGAAGTGGAGCATCCAGGACTCAAATTGGCACCCATATGAGATGCTGGCACTACAGGCAGCAGCTTTACCAGATACAGCGCAGCGCCTGCCCCCAAAACTTTTACTATTAAGTCTCATAATACAACTCTTTGAGGACAGAGGTCCTGCATGGGAAGTTAGTGCCCAGTGACTCCTGTTGTTAATTTAACAATTAACACTCTGATGTGTGATGTCAATGATCACCTGAGGCTCTTGACATGAGCTGCCTAGGCTATGGAAGCCTTTTGAATCCACAAACTCCATCAGTATTTAGACAAGGCCATATGCAAAGTGGAAGTTCTCTCCTCCCTTCAGAGAAAAGTACATCCTTCTTTGGTGGCCACTTCTTTCCACTTGGGTCTTACCCACAGAGGTCCTTCATGTAGAACATTGTTTTTTGCCACAGTATCTTGGCTTTCCATGCCCGAAATGCTCCCTTGGGCTTTTTAGCCAGACCAAAATGCTTTCAGGGTTGATTCTGAGATTAGAGTGCTACTTAAAGGTGATTGTCATTCTGTGTGTGTGCTGTATGGACTGCTTCCCATGTTGGAGCATTTGCTCCTTTTTAATTCTATCTATTATAATTACCAGACACTTATATCATCACTTTAACACTTAGTCTTATCTATATGATCTCTATAACACTTAAAATGCTATTTTTACCACTGAGCTTAAGGAGATTTGGGGTTCCATGGCAAGTTTTTAAACTGAGCCCTTTGAAGTAAGTCCATAGGAATGTATACAGAACTATACAGCTTCATAGTTATAAACTTCATACATTTCACAAATTTAGTATCATGGTGATTCTTCCCATTGTGCTTGCCCTACTAACCACACTCCCACCCCCTTCCTCTTCCCGCTCTTATTCTCTTATTTTTTACTAGGGTAAATTTTCAATTAACTTTTTACACATATGTTTAACTCTTTGTTGAGTAAAGAGTTCAATGATTAGTATGAAAGAACAAAAATAAGTAAAGTAAAAGAGAAGAAAAACAAAAACAAAAAACCCTCTTCCTTAATAGCAGACAAGGGATGTTCAATGCCATTGCTTCTCAAAGTGTCAATTTCCCTTCTACATATTGCCTTTTAGGTGCTCTGTTGGTTATCACAGGTTAGAGAGAAAATTTGGTATTTGTCCATTTGGGATTGTCTTATTTCACAGAGTATGATGTTTTCAGCTTCCTCCATTTTGTTGCAAATGACTGGATAAAACTTCCAGAACTATATTGAATAGCAGTGGTGAGAGGGGGCATCCCTGTCTGGTACCAGATCTCAGTGGAAATGCTTCCAACTTTTCCCCATTCAATAGGATGCTGGCCGTGGGTTTTTCATAAACTGATCTGATTGTACTGAGGAATGTTCCTTCTATACCAAATTTGCTTAGTTTTCATCATGAAAGGGTGTTGTATTTTATTGAATGCTTTCTCTGCATCAATTGAGATAATCATATGGTTTTTCTTCTGCAGTCTGTTAATGTGGTGTATCACATTGATTGACTTGTGAATGTTGAACCATCCCTGCATACCAGGGATAAATCCCACTTGGTCTGGGTGGATGATCTTTCTGATGTGTGGTTACATTCTATTGGCGAATATTTTATTGAGGATTTTTGCGTCTATGTTCATCAGGGATATTGGTCTGTAATTTTCTTTCAATGCTGCATGTATTTCCAGCTTAGGGATTAAGATGATGCTGACTTCATAGAAAGAATTTGGGAGGATTCCCTCTTTTTCGATTGTTCTGAATAGTTTGAGAAGTTGAGTTAATTCTACTTTAAATGTCTGGTAGAATTCAGCAGTGAATCCATCTTGTCCTGGGCTTTTCTTTGTTGGGAGGGACTTTATTGCTGTTTCAATTTCTGTCTCAGTTATGGGTCTGTTTAGGTTTCTTATGTTTTCATGGTTCAATTAAGGTAGGTTGCATGTGTCTAAGAATCTATCCATTTCTACTAAGAGTCAAAGGGAGCACATAAACAAGTCTAGTACCTGCTAATACTAACCGATAGAATAAATAAAGGGGAGAGTGATCCAACATGGGAAGCGAGATATTCAGCAGATTCATAGAATGGCGGATGTCCTAAACAGCACTCTGGCCTCAGAATCAACCCTAAAGTATGTGGTCAATCGTAGAGTAGGTTCCATCTCCACACTATGTTACAATGTCTATACTAGTTTACATTCCCATCAATAGTGGATTATGATACCTTTTTCCCCACATCCTCACTAGCATTTGTTAATTTCTGTGTGAGAGCCCTTCTAACTGGAGTGAGGTGAAACCTCGTTGTGGTTTTGATTTGAGTTTTTCTGATAGTTAGTGAT